GCGCAGCTCGCCGAGGGCACGAAGCGGGGCCACGTCCGCGTCGACATCTCGGCGACCCGCCTGGCCGTGAAGGTCGGCGCGCTCGTCGGCGGCGACTTCAAGCTCGCGACGCTCCTCGACGGGGCCCTGTTCCAGGACGTCGACCCGGCGGCGTCGTCCTGGACGCTCGTCGACACGGACCTCGGGTCCGCGGAGCTCCAGGTCACCCTCGCCAAGAAGGTACCCATGCGATGGCTCATGCTGGTCCGCGCGTGAGGGTGGTAACTTGAACTACAACTTGAACGCTCTCGATGGCTCATGCGGTCCGCGCGTGAGGGTGGTAACTTGAACGACAACTTCAAGTTCAAGTTGAATGCTCTCACCACGAAAGCAATCGGTCGTGCTCTCCGGCCCAGAGCTTGTCTCTGGCTCCATTATGGCGTCGTTCGAGCAGCCGTAGCAGCTTGTAGCAGCCGAAATATGGCGTCGTTCGAGCAGCCGTACAGCCGCACAGCGGCCGCGCTGGACGCGCTGTCCATCAAGGAAGACCCGGGCAGCACGCGCGCCGACCCGTCGATCGAGGCGTGCAAGGTGCGCAGCCACATGTCCACGGGCGACCCCTACGTCGCCGACGACGTCGCCGGCAGCTACCTGCAGATGACCTGCGCGCGTAGCAACTTCCGCGCCGTCGGCTGGCGCGCGCACGACTTCCGGAAGCCCATCGTCACCATCGGCGTGCCCTTCACGAACATCATGCCCTGCAACGACCGCACGCTCGAGCTCGCGAACGCCGCCGCGGCGCTCCTCGAGGCGCGGGGCTGCAAACCCTTGCTGGCCATGTGCCCGGCCATCTCCGACGGCATCACGCAGGGCAGCTCGGGCATGCGCTACAGCCTCGCGTCGCGCGAGCTGATAGCCGACGGCATGGAGACGATGCACGAGGGCTACGGCGCCGACGCGATGCTCACGCTCAGCGGCTGCGACAAGACCGTGCCCGCGGCGCTCATGGCGCCGGCGCGCTGCGACGCCGTCGCCGTGAGCCTCTTCGGCGGCGCGGCGCAGCCGGGCGCGCCCAAGCCCGGCGCGGGCCGCCGCTGCGCGGACCCGGGCAAGGTCATGGAGGGCATCGGCGCCTACGGCCACGGCTTGATCGACGTCGAGGAGCTGCACCGGCTGGAGTGCACGTCGCTGCCCGGCTCCGGATCCTGCAGCGCCATGCGCGCGGCGGCGTCGTGCGACAGGCTTTTTGGCACTGCTTCGAAACCCGATCCTTGGAAGTGCTTCGACACCCGGCTTTTTGGCACTGCTTTGAAACCCGATCCTTGGAAGTGCTTCGACACCCGGCTTTTTGGCACTGCTTCGAAACCCGATCCTTGGAAGTGCTTCGACACCCGACATCCGTCGTACTCTTAGGTTCACAGCATGTACGATGGGCGCGATCACGGAGGCGCTCGGCCTGGGCCCGCCGGGGTCGGCGACGAGCACGGCGACGACGCCGTCGAACGCGACGAACCCGGAGAAGCTCGCGGAGGTCGCGACGGCCGTCGACATGCTCCTGGGCCTCATGAAGTCCAAGGTCACGGCGCGGCGCATCCTGACGCGCGAGGCCTTCGAGAACGCCGTCGCCGTCGTCTACGCCGTCGGCGGCTCGACGAACTCCGTGCTCCACGTCCTCGCGCTCGCGCGCGAGGCAGACGTCGAATTTTCCATCGACGACTTCTGCGCCGCGGGCGCCGGCGTCCCGATCCTCGCGGACGTGTCGCCGCACGGCTCGTACCACACGAAGCACCTCCACGCCGCGGGCGGCATCCCCGCGGTCATGAGGGAGCTGCTGGGCGCGGGGCTCCTCCACGGCGGCTGCCTCACGTGCACGGGCAAAACGGTCGCGGAGAATCTCGCGGACGTCCCCGCGCCGGCGCCGGGCGCGCCGCCCGTCGTCCGGCCCGTCGCGGCGCCCTTCGCGCCCGCGGGCAATCACATCGTCTGCCTGCGCGGGTCCCTCGCGTCCGAGTCAGCGGTCATGAAGCTCTCGGGCAAGGACATCGACGCGTTCCGGGGGCCCGCGCGCGTCTTCGATTCGGAAAAAGACGCGTACGCGGCGATCATGGCCAGGGACTCGCCCGTCGTCGCGGGCGTCGTCGTCGTGATCCGCTACGAGGGGCCCAAGGGCGCGCCGGGCATGCCCGAGATGCTCAGTCCCGGCGCGGCGCTCGTCGGCCGCGGCCTCGGTCCGCGGTGCCCGCTCGTCACCGACGGCCGCTTCTCGGGCGCGTCCCACGGCCTCATGGTCGGGCACGTGAGCCCCGAGGCCGCGCGCGGCGGCACCGTCCAGCGTCCGGCGGCTGTGATGATTTCGACCGATGCATTTGGTAGGCACCATCGCCCTCGTCGAGGACGGCGACGTCGTCGTCATCGACGTGAAGGGGCTCCGCCTCGATCTCGACGTCCCGGCGGACGTCCTCGCGGCGCGGCGCGCGGCGCTGGCGGCCCGCCCGCGGCCGAAGCTCGTCGGCACGCTCCGCAAGTACGCGGCGCTCGTCCAGAGCGCCCACGTGGGGGCGACGACGTAGGGCGGTTAAAAAAACGATGTCTCGAGCCCCGCCCGCCGCTCGCTCCGGGGGACAAGGTACGTTAGGATCTCAGAGGGGGAAGGGAGGGGAGGGGGGAGACGGGGACGCGCGTCAGTCCTTGGAGGCCTTGACGCCGAGCATGGGCGCGAGGTCGTCGGCCTGGGCGGCGCCGAGCGTGTTCGTGACGCCGACGCCGAGGGCCTTGAAGCAGGGGTCGCAGGGGTCGGCGTCCGGCTTGTCGTCGATCTGGCGCGCGTAGGCGACGCAGCCCGCGAGGCAGAGGAGCCCCAACGCGACGACGGAGGCGACGGAGAGGGCGCCGCGGACGAACGCGGTGTGCGCCGCGAACTCGTCGTCGTCGTCGCCGCGGTTGCGCTTCCGCTTGTGGAACCAGTGCGTGTCCTCGTGCTTGCCGCTGTGGCGGCTGTGGGGCTTCTTCGTCGCCTCGGAGGACTGGATGATGCCGACGGCGGCGGCGTCGTCGTCCGCGAAGCCGCCCCACTCGTCGCCGAAGTCGTAGTCGTCGTCCCACCACTCCTCGGCGTCGTCGTCGAACCACTCGCCGTCGTCGTCGTACCACTCGTCGCCCGCGTCGTCCCAGAACTTGAGCTGGCCGTTCTCGTCGAGGACGGAGCCGCCGCAGTCCGTGCAGTCCGTGCCGCGGTCGCACGCGGGCGCGCCGAAGTCGTCCGCGTAGTAGCCGTAGACGTCGTCGCCGTTCGCGCCGTAAAAGTACGCGTAGCCGTAGGCGTCGTCCTCGTAGGCGTAGCGGTACTCCTCCGCGAGCGCCTCGCCGTCCGCGAAGAGCGCGTCGTCGTAGAAGCGGGCCTCGCCGTAGCCGTAGTCGCCGTAGGCGTAGTCGTAGCCGTAGCCGTAGCCGGCGCCGCCGCCGCCGCCGTCGGGCGTCTGCGAGCCGTCGTCGCAGACGCCGTCGAGCGCCCAGGCGCAGGAGTCGTCGCAGGTGAGCACGGAGCCGTCGCGGTCCGTGGCGACGTCGTCGCCGACGATGGTCGCGACCTGCACGGGCTTGGCCTTGCCCGTCGCGGCGTCGCGGAAGACGTACTCGCCCGCGGCCGTCGACACCTGCGTGACGACGAGCGGCGCGCCGCCCGCGGGCATCTTGAACTTGACGCCCCGGCCGGTGGGCGTCCAGGCCTTGCCCTCGTTGAGGACGAGGACGATCTCGTCGTCGTAGACGGCCTCGACGCGGTACGCGGCGGCCCACGTCGGCTCGAGCGTCACCTCGACGCCGTCGGCGTCGAAGCCCGCGCCGCGGATGGACACGCGCTTCGTCGTCGTCTCCGTGATGGGCGTCTTCGACACGATGACCGTCGGCGCGTCGACGACGTCGGCGACGACGATGCCCGCGCCGTGGGCCAGCGCGAGCGGGTCGTCGTCGCCGTCGACGTGGAGCTCCTTGAGCACCAAGGGCCCCGCGGACGGCCGCCAGGCCTTGCCCTCGACGAGGGCCAGCGTGAGGGCCGTCGCCTCGACCTTGGCGAGCTCGTAGTCGACGCCCTTGACGAGGGGCGGCTCGAAGACGAGGCGCGCGTGCTTGTCGAGCTTCGCGCCCGTGACGGTGATCGACGAGAGGCCGCCGGGCCCCGGCGACCGGTAGACGATCTGGTGGTTCGACCGGATCACGGACATGCCGCTCGGGTGGTCGAAGGCGGCGTCCGGCGCGATCTGGGCGACGACGACGGGCTTGAAGCCCGGGAACGCGCCCATGGGGCCGCTCTTGATCGCGGTGATCTTCAGCGGCCGGCCCGCGTCCGCGGCCCAGGCCTTGCCCTCGCGGAGGCGCAGGAGCGCGTGCGTGCGGTTGACGACGGAGACGAGCACGTCCTCGCCGGCCGCGAGGGGAGGCTCGAAGGTGAACTCCGTGCCCTCGCAGACGTAGCCGCCCGCGAGGCGCGCGCCCGCTTTCACGAAGCCGCGGCCTTTGATCCAGAGCTGGGCCGTGTGCGTGCGGTAGACGGACGTGCCGCTCGCCGCCGTCACGGCCGGGTCCTCGAAGACCGTGGCGACGCGCACGCCCTTGCGCGCCTCCGTCGCGCCCATGGCGACGAACCCCGTGCCCGCGTCCGCGGAGAGGAGCACGAGGGGCCCGGGCAGGTTCTTCGGGTTGCGCTTCCAGGCCGACCCCGGCAGGCGCTCGAGGACGACGCCGTTCTCGTCGAAGGACGCCGTCGTGTAGTTGACGCCGCGGCCCTTGATGCCGTTGCCCCAGCGGAGCTTCGGCGGGCCGAAGCCCGGCTCCGTCCGCGCGTGCTCGAACCCGAAGCCCGTGACCTTGATGGACTTGGCCGACTGGTAGACGAACTGCGACTCGCCCGTGGGCTCCGCGTAGACGCCGTGGCCGCCCAGGTCCGCCTGGACCTCGGCGACGGTCACGCCGCCGTACTTGGGGTCGACGCGGAGCGCGCCGCCGCCGACGTCGATGCGCCGCAGCTTCAGGGGCCCGGGCTCGCCCCGCCACTTGCGGCCCGTCTTGAGCAGCACCTGGATCGCGGTCCCGCTGCGCACGTTCGTCGCGTAGTCGACGTTCTCGACGAGCGGCGGGTCGAACGTCAGCTTCATGCCGTCGCGGAAGCCCGTGCCGTTGATGAGGAACTTGGTCGTGCCCGTCGTGTAGATGATCTTGTCGTCGCCCTTGACGACCGTCGGCGGCGGGATGATCTTGGCCACGGGCACGGGGCCCTCGAGGAGGTTCGACCCGCCGCCTTTCTTGATCGAACTGAGGAACAGCGTCGTGCCGTCCGCGCCCGCGGACTCGAAGAGGGGCCACTTCATGCCCTTCTTCAGGCCGAGGACGAGGCCCGTGTCCGTGACGTTGAGGTCGTAGATGGGCGCGGACCGGAGGCCGCCCGCGCCCGTGAGCGGCGGCACGAACTCGAGCGCGACGTTCGACGACGCGCCGAAGCCGTCGCCCTGGATGCGGAGCCTGCGCGGGGTCCGGGTGACGGGTGACGGGGGGGGGGTCTTCGGGGGCGCGGGGGTCGGGGTGGGGTCTTTCGGGGGGGGGGCGGCCCGGGGTGGGGTCTTTCTGGGGGGGGCGGCGCGGGGGGGCGCACTTGGGCGTGAGCGACGAGTAGAGGACGGCGCTGCGGGGCGTGACGTGCTGCGCCGACGCGACGGCGGCGAGCGCGGCGAGCGCGAGACCGATCGGCATCATGGCGATGTCACGCGTCGAAGAGGACGCTCCAGCAAAACTCAGCAAATTCACACAATCGCGGGTCGCCACGCCGCCCCTTCGCCGGGGGTACGACACCCCCCCGGGCGGGAGTTTCGCAGGAATAGTTTAAACCTCACGCCAGTCCCTCGCCTCCCCCCCGCTCACTCCGCGGCCTGCATGCGGACCTGGATCTGGCCGCCGGAGAGCGCGACGGCCTCCTTGACGGACGCGTCGCCGAGGTCGAGGCCCGAGATCGTCCGGAGCGCGGCGCTTCCCGGCGGCATGGGGAACCCCTTGCAGGCGGCGTAGCCCTTGCGGAAGGCGTCGAGGAGCTTCTTCGCGGGCTTGGGCGCCCACTTGGCGGGGATGTTGAAGTCGAGCGACGCGTGGAGCGCGGCGTCGTCGGGCTCGACGAAGAAGAGCGTCGCCGCGAGCTTGGGCAGGGCCGCCTCGGCCGCCGCGCGCTTCTTCGCGGCGTCGGCCGCGGCGTCGGCCTCGGCGCGGAGGGCCGCGGCCGCGGCGGCGGCCGCGGCCTCGGCCTCGCGGAGCTTCTCGGCCTTGTCCGCGGCGCGCGCGGTCTTGGCCGCCTTCGCGGCCGCGCGCGCCGCGGCCGCCGCCGCGTCCCCCGCGGCGGCGGCGGCCTCGCCCGCGGCGTGGAGGGCCAGCGTGAGCGACTCGGCGACGAGGAGCCGCCGCTCGCGGACCTCGGCCTCGCGGCGCCGGAGCTCCGCGCGGACGCTGCACTCGATGCGGTCCCGGCGGAGCCGCTCGCGGCCCAGCGCCAGCTTGCGCTCGCGGTCCTCCTCCTCGGCCTTGCGCTTGAGCTTGCGCCGCTCCGCGGCCTCGGCCTGCTCGCGCGCGAGCCGCGCGGACCGGTCGCTCCGCTTCCGGAGCTCGCGCTCCCAGCGCTCCTTGGCGACCTCGAGCTTGCGCTGGCGCGGCGTCGGGTGCTCGTCGTCGTCGTCGTCGTCGTCGTCGCCCTCGCTCACCTCGTCGATGGCCTCCGCGGACCGCTTCTTGCGGAACTTCTTCGCCGCGCGCGCGCGCCGCTTCGACGGCGAGCCGGGGTCCCCGGCGGCGTCGGACTCGCTGCCGTAGCCCTCCGACGCGTAGCCGCCGCAGGCCTTGAAGTCGTGGGCCGAGATGAGCTCCTGGCGCCGCCGGAGCTTGCGCGCGACGGCCTCGGCCGTCCGCGCGCGCGCGGCCTCCTCGTCCGCGAACTGCTCCGCGAGCGCCATCTCCCGGTCGAGGGCCGCGCGCACGCGCGCGTCCTCGACCTCCTCCTCGGCGCGCTCCCGCGCCTCGGCCGCGACGCGGCGCTCGAGCTCCGCGGAGTCGCGCGCGAGCCGCGCGCGCGCCTCGGCCTCCGCCTCCTTGATGCGGTGGAACGTGCGCTGGATCTCCGTCGTCTCGCCGCCGTCGAGCAGCGCCCGCTCCCGCGCCTCGCGCTCCAACGCCCGCGCGTCCTCGATCTCCCGGAGCGCCGTCACGGCCGCGCGCTCCGCGCGCGCGGCGCGGTCCGCGCGCCGCCGCATCGCGTCCTCGACGGTCCCCGCGCCGGCGTCGCGGCGCCGCTCCGCCCGCCGCGCGTCCTTCTCCATGAGGTCCAGGTCGAAGTTGTCGTGCTCGCTCGCCCGCAGCAGCTTCTTGTTCGCCTTGGCGTCGACGGGCGCGTCGTCGTCCTCGACCTTCTCCACCTTGGCGCCCGTCCCGCCGAAGCCCTTGACGGGCGCCTTCCCCGCCGGCGCGGGCGCCTCGGCGGCGGCGGCGGCCTTGGGGGGCATGGTCGGTTCCCGGCGCGGAGAAGGGCTGCCGCGCGGCGACG